AATAATAATAATAATAATAATAATAATAATAATAATAATAATAATAATAATAATAATAATAATAATAATAATAATAATAATAATAATAATAATAAAACGATTAAATAGAATAAAAGTAGGCGGACGTTACTAGCAAAATAGCTCTAGCTCTAATAGTCTCAAAGCTTAAAATATCTGCCTTAGAGCTATTAGATTAATCGGAATAAAGTTATTTTACTAAAGCGCCGGCCTTATAAGTATCAGAATATAAACAAAGTACAGAAAATATATTTATATTTATCTAAGTAAAGCTCGTAGTACTTCACGAGGATATCGAACTATTGGGAAAAACTAACGGAAATAAGTAGGCATATATAGAATCGATATACTCTATATATATAACATAATCTGGTTTATCACACCTCGATAACGTGGCTGTGGGCATCTGACAATTCCTTAGCCCCGGTCACGCGCTAGGAAGGGCAACACGCCACGCTTGTTCAATCGACCCTTTTTTTCGTGGTGCTTCGACTGGTAACCATCACACCTTTTGCCAGTTAACAGCCATTGTTATTTGGTAATAACTGGTTTTTTTTTCACCAGATTTCATCATTCCACCACTTCTTTTCTTCTGAGGCCCAGCAGAACCTTCTAGCCTAAGTCCCTACACCAATCTCCTCCCTCTCAATGACTGACTGGAGTAAGTTGAAGGTCGTGGACCTGCGCGCTGAGCTGAAGCGCCGCGGTCTTCAGTACTCCGGACTCAAACAAGAACTTGTCCAGCGCCTCAGTGACGATGATAGCCAAAGCCAAACGGCAGACCCTGGCAATGAAGCCGAAGATCCTCCTCAAGATGTGGATGGACTTCACACGAATGATCCCCAGCCAGTCGATTCGCCGCCAGTCCCGGAAATAGCACCCGCAAATGCAACCTCAGAAGCAACTGCGCAGGACAGCCTCGGGGATAGACCATCTCCCCGGGCCGTGCTAGAATCTACACTCCCCGCCGGCACCGATTCGCAAGACATGACGAGTGGTGGCGCAAAGCCCGTTCCTGCTCTAGAACTGGGATCTGTGCAGCCATCCGAAGTCCTCCAAGACGCGCAAAAGCGGAAGCGACGGTCTACAAGCCCCCCACCGGATCCGAAGCGTGCCAAACATGACGACAGTAGCCCGATGCATGCCACGACCAGCGAACCCTGTGCGCTCATCGACGATGCTGAAGCGGTTTCAAATGAAGAAGTGCGCCTCCAGAAGCCACCGGAATCTGACGTTGCGGAAGACGACATGTCTCCTCTTCTGAATCGTGGAGACTCTCGAGAAGGATCCCGAGACATTGCTTCTGATGGGCGCCCTGACCGGGCCGCGACCAATCGGGACGCCTTCGAGCTTGCACCGGATTCGAGTGACTCGCGCCTGGTGGTCCACAATGCTGGAGGCTACGACCGAGTTGTCGAGTCAGCAATACACCCTATAACCCGAGCTTTGTACATCAAGAACTTCATGAGGCCACTCCGGCCGGAAACAGTAGAGCTTCACATCAAGGAGCTCGCCGCGCCTCTGAACCACGGTGTTGACGAGCATCTCATTGAACGGTTCTATTTGGATCAGATACGGAGCCATGCGTATGTCGTTTTCTTCGATATCTCAAACGCAGTACGCGCTCGAGCTGGCTTACACGGCGTGGTATGGCCCGACGAGAGTAACCGGAAGCCTCTATGGGCGGACTTTGTTCCGCCCCAGAAAGTTGGCGACTGGATTGGTGAGGAGACAAATGGTGGCCAGAGAGGCCTGCGCGGAGCCGCCGCGCCAAGGTGGGAGGTCAGGTACGACAAGGACGAAAACGGAAACATCGTAGCTGTCCTCGACTCCGGAGCAGCACCTCCATCATCCGCTACCGAACCTAGAGCAATGCGTTCTGACCCGCCCCCCGCTGTCGTGTCCGGCTTTCCAAGCAGCACCGCGAACACAATTCCACTAGGACCTCGGGGTGGCCGAGGGGCTCCCTCGCAGGGCCCTCCCGTCGGGCCGCGAAGTCAAAGAGAAAGCCGTGTTCACGAGCCGCGAAGGCCTGGACCTGGTGGTCCCATTAAGACGACCCGCACCGGCCCTCGCATTTCTTATCAGATGGTATCCGAAGATCTGGCCAGCCGACGTGTGAGCTGCATGCGATCTCATTACACGCGAGACGTCGACCGCGACTTGGGAGCCGAGGATGAGATTAACCGATATACCTTTGAGTCGGATGACGTGTTTGTAGATCGTGGCAAGGAGGTATTCATTGGAATTCGTCCTCCCCATCGCGAAGCGAAGCGACAACGGCAGCTGGGGGGTGGTACCCCGCCATTGCGAGGCCCCCCGCCTCACCGTGGCCCTCCGAGGCGTGGCCCTCGTGGACGTCCAACAAGCGATCGGTATCTCCCTGGCATCAACGAGGGCGGCCCATTCTGGCAAGGCGGCCGAGACAATCTCTCTTCGCGACTCGATGACGATCGCGATGGTCCTCCCAGACGCTCAGGGTACAATGGTTGTCGGTATAGTCGGCAGGGCGATTCACCTAGAGAAGGGGGGCGGCGTTATTAGGTGACTACGGAAAGTAAGAAGATGGTGTACTATTTTATTTCATCGTCCTCTTTCCTCGCCACTCTTGCCAGATCGGCGAGAACCGTGAGCTATCCGGGGTTTCTCCGGCGACTTCGCAAGGCTTGCACTGAATAGCTACCGCGGTCTTCGGATGCTCACGAGCCAGGCTGGAGGCCAAAAAAAAAATCATCTCGCGCCAGTGAGAGACGAAACTGAAACAATTCCTGGTTTGCAACAAAACAACGTGGGCAGCTACATTGATCGGTGCGAGACTGAACACCTTGATCCATAGATCACCCCTCTTTGCACTCTCAAGTTACATGGCATCCATACCATATTCTTTCACCTCTCTCAACTACATAATATAGGCTACCTGAAACGGCGCTTGTACGATTCTCCCCCATAGACCCCGACACAGAAGATGGATCAGGCAGCGAAAGGGCTGTTGAGTGGTTCTAGGGAACTACATATATGCGCCCAGTATCTTCTCGAGGACAGCATGTCTTACGGCACTTGGATCGGCTTTCCTACCGCCTACAGCGCATATATGGATAAGGACGCGATTCAGCCAGGTCAGGGTTAATTATGGCACTCACTCTAGCTATAGGGAGCTCCCCTGGGACGGATGGATTGGGCAAGACGATTTTGTTCACAGGTAAGAGTAGGATTAAAGGACAGAATGAAGGCATTGCCCTGTTTATTAGTTAGCGAATAATAAACCCTTCGCAAAAAAAAATTGACTGTGTATATGTTCTTGCTGACTACGATGTACGACGCAACCGCTGAACGACCGAGTCGTTACTGCCCTTGACCCCGTTACCGAGTCGTAAAGCGCGGTTCTATCTATTAATACTACTACTAGCGCTGCGTTTTATCACCTCGGGGTAGCGAGATCAATTCTAATACAGGCTTTCTTACTAACGGTTCCCTATAGGTACCGTGATAAGATTTAGATTTTGCATCTTAGCGGCCTATTATATTTATTCTAGCAGGCTTAGACCTCTTTATAGCGGCGACGTTATACAATCACATAAAAGAGATATACTTATAAGGGCAACTATACGTATCAGACCCAGTTAATCCAGCTTTAACTACTCAAATCACTATAACTACTATATTCTAAATAAGGACGTGAGGAGGTTTAAGAGCTAGGTATATTTAGAACCGTGATCCTATTACACGTCAAAATAGCACTTATACTAGTATACCTATTAGAGTAGAAATCTCGTATATATGTATTATCTTAAGTCATATCTATATAAGTCTCTTATACCCTTAATTTAGGTGGTGAAGACTCTGTTATAGGTACTATGTTATTTAGATCCTATCCGATCTTTTCCTGTATCCTCCCTTACTCTATACTGATACCCGAGATCCCCGAGATCCGAAGCCCTTATTTAGGTATAGTTCCCTAAGGACTACGTCGTGGTCCGCGTGCCTATGCGATATAGCCCCTTAGTTAAGGTGGGTCTTCCTAGGTTAACTAACTAATTAGAGGCTTCGATTTAAACTAAAAGCTCTTAACTCGTCTATCGTAAAATCAATAGTTAAGGGAAAACGCCCTCGTAAAAGGGGTCTAAATCCGCTCTATTTGACTATTTAATTTAATTCTATCTTAACCGGTGCCTTAATCCTAATTAGCCGGATCTGCGTAATCGGATCTATATCTATCGGATCTGCTACGCCCTCAGGGGCCTTTATCGTTACTACGGCTTTAGCGCATTTAATTATTAGTTATTTTAACTACTCGATACGACCTTTTTAATCTGTTAAATTAAGCTATTACTATAGTCTTTTAATCCGTGCCTCCAGTAGTGCCTTCGGTAAGCCTTTAGCGATTATATCCTTTATATTAACGTATATATCCTTAAAGAGACCTTACTATACTAACTAGCGTGCTTACTAGTTATAAATATCGATGTGCCATAGTCTTATTCGTAGGCGTTAGGCCTTCTTATTGACGAGGTTCCACGCCTTCCAGGGAACAGTAGCCACGCCCGGCCTATACCATAGTGCCTACCCCGGAGAGCCTACGCAGCGCGAGTAAAGGAGGCATATAGCCAAATAAGGGCCACTATCAACAGCAGGCAACGAAGGAAGTTACAGAACAAATAACAAATAAAGGAAGGAGTAAAGGGGGGGGGGCAGGCACGCCCCCCTTATAAAAGGGAGGGAGGGCATAAAGGGTGCCGCAGCGAGGGAAGAATAACCTCGCCGGATCCGGAATAAAGGAAAGGATAGCGGTGAGTAACCGTGGCGATAGCATACCGAGGGCGCGTACGACCCGACACGGCACCTATTAAACTAACTAGCCGACCCCTATTAGCTATTAGCCCGGAGGTAAGATCCGGTTTTCGAATAGCGATAAAAATAGGGCCGCGGAGCGATACCGTAGCGGCTATATATAATAGAACTGCTTATATAATAAGAGCGTAGGGGCTTTTATCTATTAAGGGTTTCCCCTCGAGAATTAAAGAAGGACTATTACCTAGGTAGCTAGCCTAGCTTAGCTAAGCGAGAGCAGAGTAATAAATAATAATAATAATAATATTAACGAGGTAAATAGTCTACTAATTATCGTAGAATAGCTATAGTTAGTATTAGTCTAACCGAAGCTTTAGATCCCTTGATATCCGACTAATAAATAATATCTCCTTAGCGGCCTTTATAAGAGCGAGTAGTTCTAACTCTATTAACGATATCGTAACTATCGGTTACTGACCCGCCTTCTAGTTAATAATACCGCCGAAGACCTTTATCGCGTATCTTTAAGAGCCCTTATAGTCTGGATTATCCCGAAGGATACGTTATTTATAGTTAGAAAGAGTCTATCCTTACCGAATTCTAGGTAGTAGTGCTTTATATAATATAAGAATAGTAGCACTTATTAAGCCCTTTTAAGGTGGTTAAAAGAGGGATTAATATTATATTAGGAAAGCTTGAAATAGGCGAATAAAATATCGGGTCTTATTATCATAGTGGTATATAGGATGAAACCTATTATACCCTAATACTAGCAGACCTCGGGAATTAACGTGTATATACGATCGCGTAGTATTAACGGCTTTATAGTTAATAATAGGACCTTTAGTGGTTTTTAGTAAAGGATATCTATATAGTATTTAACCGCGACTTTCTCTATATAGGAGGATTATAATAGCTATAACCTACGTATAGCTCTATCCCTTAGAACCTTAATTCCCAGGAACTAATGGACTTTATCGCCTCCCGATAACCTATAGCTGTATTTATAGGTAGCCTTAAGGTCATCGGCGTTAGTCTTACAATTTCTATAGTAGATAAGTCCGATATCGTTAATATAGAAAAATAGAATTAAACTATCGCGGATTATAATATAGGCGCTATTATGGACGGCCGTAAATCCTATCTTCTATAGTATACCGCTGAATTCCTCTTACTATAGTAGTAGCGATACCCTTAAACCGAAGAGGGCTTTCCGTAGTAGTAGTACCTTACCTGGCACTTTATAGCCTTACGGTATCTTTATAAATACTTCCTCTTTAAGACTAGCGTTAACGAACGCGTTAATAGCGTCGAATTACCTTATTTCTAGGTTAAATCGGGCGGCAATCGCTATTAGTATATAGAAGGACTGCGAGGCTAATATAGCGGCGTAGTTATCTTTAGTTTCTCTATATTTTATTAATCCTCCTATACTATAAGGCGTGCGTTATACTTAAGGTAGGTGCCCTCTATATTAATTTATAGGTATACATCTATTTATAGGCGAGGACTTATTACTTATTAGCCTAAGTACCGTTTACCTCCTACTAGTAGCTTATTTATCGGTAGCCCTTAAGGTATTCCCCCTCGGCCTATAACCACTACTCCAGTAAGGGGTAAAGGCGTATATCGTGGTAGTGGTTTAGTAGAGACGGGAAACCTATCGCACGTCAAAATAGCACTTACATAATTAACCTAATAGAGCAGAAATCTCGTGTATATATATTATATTAAGTTATATCTGTGTGAGTCTCTTATACCCTTAATTTAGGTAGTAAAGACTCTAATATAGGTACTATATTATTTGGATTCTATCCGGTCTTTTCCGGTATCCGACCTTATTATATCTTGATACCCGAGGTCCACGAGATCGAAAGCCCTTAGTTAGGCATAGATCCCCTAGGGACTATATTGTAGTCCGTGTGCCTATATAATGTACCCCCAAGGTTAAGGTAGGCCTTCCCTAGGTTAACTAGCTGATTAGAGGCTTCGGTTTAAACTAACAGCTCTTAACCTTTCTATCGTAAAATTAATAGTTAAGGGAAAATACCCTTATAAAAGGGATCTAAATCCGCCCTATTTAACCGTTTAATTTAATTCGATCTTAATTAGTTCCTTAATCCTGATTAGCCGGATCTACTTAATCGGATCTACATCTATCGGATCTACTACGCCCTCGGGAGCCTTTATTATCGCTACGGCCGCGGCTTTAACGCGTTTAATCTCTTCGTGCAGTTACTTCGAATACTCGATATGATCCTTTTAATTCGTTAAATTAAGCTATTATTATCGTCGTATAATCCCCGCCTCCGATGATACCTTTGTTAAACCGTCCGCGATTATATCCTTCGTATTAACGTATATAACCTTAAAAAGACCTTATTATACTAACTAGCACGCTTATTAGTTATATATATTAATATGCCATAGCCTTATTTGCAGGCATTATAGCTTTTTATTAATATGGTTAATAGTCTGCTCATTATTATAATATAACTATAGATGTTATTAATCTAATCGAAGCTTTAAATCCCTTAATCTCCGACTAACGAATAACGTCTCCTTAGTAGCCTTTATAAGAGCGAGTAGTTCTGACTCTATTAACTATATTATAGCCTTCGGTTACTTACTCACCTTTTAGTTAATAGTGCCGCCGAAAAGCTTTATCGTGTATCGTTAGGAGCTTTTACGGTCTGGATTATCCCTGACGGACGCGTCGCTTACGGTTACGAAGAGTCTATCCCCACCGAATTCCAGGTAGAAATACCTTATA